CTCGTTCACCAGAGAAGAAATAACTCTATCAGGATGTATAGACCAAAGTTTCCTGCATGTGGAATTTAGTCGCATGACAACTTAATTCAACCTTTAATACTGACCCGCAGTAGTCCTGGTTACCCTTCACGTATTGGATGAGAACCCCCAACCCCTTGATATTTCTGTTGCGCACGGCTGTTGAAACCAAGTTTGGGGTCTCTCTTAAAAGCCTCCCTCCGTTTTTTGTATAGTTCTCTAGACTGGCCGGCAACACGTCCACCAATTCGGCGTCCTTGAGCACCAGGTGAATTGCTAACTCAACGGGCTTGGAGCCACTCACTGCAGTGGTCATTGAGACCCTTTGCTGCAACATCCACTCAATGATCGCGATCCGTTTTTGTGTTACGGCTTGTACCAGTAGCGAGCCGCTAGCACAGTCGTTGAGATAAGTCTCGAGATCGCATCCCTTTGGCATGTAAGTATTTACACATCGTCAAATCGTCCTTTTCAATTGCAATCTTGAAAGCCAAGGCCAACGATCTTTTTCGGCGTCGCTCGATCTCAACATGTGCAACGCTAGAAGCCGACTTGACAGTGTCAAGCAAATTTGCAAGCTCCTCATTGCCGGCTTGGTGTGCATAAAGCGCGGGCGTCATCCCAACCGAATCCTCAAACGACTTGCATCCTGCTTTGATGAGCACTCGACAGGCCTCTATCTTGTTGCTTCTTGCAGCAAGGTGAAGAGGGGAGCTTCCATCTTTGCCACGAGCGTCGATATCGCAGCCAAGAGCGGACAAGTATTTGACATTACTGACGCGGCCCTGTGATGCTGCGAAGTGCAGCGGCGTAAAGCCTTCGTCAGACCTCACCTCAAGATCCTCCATGAGTTTGTGGTCATTGTAGAAGCACAGTACGTCGGTAGACTGGCACAAGGCTCCAAGATGTAGCGCGGTGACTCCCGTGCAGATTAGGGACATATTCTCCAAGGGGACAGAAAGACGACACTTTTTGCACCAGTCCATCTTATCGTGCCAATCCTTCTTGGCTCCTGGTTTGATATCGACGTAGATCTCAGTCAATACTGGTACTGCTCGACACATTGCAGCTATCAAGGCTGTGTCAAACCCGAAGTCGTCGGTCAGCGTTAGGTCAGCTCCTTTTTTGAGAATCGTTTCGACGTATCCGGAACACCACCGTTGTTTGAAAAATTGGTAGACGGCCGCAGGTCTGTAGGGATGCTTGTCTACACGGAGATTCGGATTTGCGCCGTTATCCACGATCTTCTCAATAACCCATTCCGCACCCCACGCATTCGGCAAATGGATTAGCGCAAGTCCACTACCATCTGGAATAACCTCGTTGATGCGTGATTTGTCGAAATGGCGGAGTAGGAGATCAAGAATTCTCTTCGCGCATTAGTTTTCCTCGTCGTCAGTGTCTTCTGACTTGGCGCTACACGTATGCATAAGACCGTCCAATCTCGGGGTTTTAACAAAGCTTTCCAGAGCAGACAGTCCATCAACACGTTGATGAACGCTGACTTCCTTTTGAAGCAGCAACTTGACGATTCTTAAATTATATGAATGAGCTGCCACCTTCAGTAAGAGAATGATGCCGGGAGATTCCCTAAGAGAGTCCCAATGCTGTGTCTGACGGAGGACTTCGGAAACTAAAGCTTTCAATCGAGACCAAGGTTTCGAAAGTTCCGTCAGAGTGCTGAATGGCTGCATGAGAGGAATAATTGCGGACTTTCCGAAGCAAGACTCGAAGGATTTCAAATACCCAAGCCGTATCAGATTGATGCTTACGTTCTCGCTGATGACCTGTCTGTCATCCTTTTCAGCCAAATCTTCGCTAATGCCAGTCCATGATCTTGGCAAATGCAAGGTGCTGCTCAGTATTCGGGACGTGAAGCACTCCCACGTCATGGCTTTGCTGACCTCGCTCTCGGACGTGTCCAATATGGCTAGTTCGTCTATGATTGAGTCATTGATGTCCCTGACTCCGCTGGTTTCAAGGCAGCATATCAGGTAGGATTCGAGTGGCGTGTGGCTATTGAAGCGATGTCCAGAAGACTCTGGATACAAAGCCTTCAGTCGACGGACAAAATGCAATGATGTCTTGGGGCCAAGATGATGCAAAAGAGTTTCGGTGTCCTTAAAACTGAAGTTGATCCCGGATTGCAGCAGAGCATCGAATGTATTTTCGTCGCCCTCCCTCACAACAAGTGATAGTGCCGCGATCGGACTTTCGGTCATCTTAGCCGTGATTGTGATTTGCTGAGCGAGAAGAATCGAAGCCGACCGTGTCAACATCTTCCACAGGCACAGAGTCAGTGGGGTGTAACCATTATTGTCCGTCGTCTCCATTGCTTTCTTAACGCTCTCTGTTGGCTGATACTTGAGCAATGCACGCAATCGGAAGGGCTCAGATATGTGGAGATGCAAGGCAGTCCGTTTCTCTGTGTCCTGAAGATCACAGCGCGCACCATGATCTGCGAGTAAATGGGCTACTTCATCAAATAATTCCAACTTGCTGGTAGGGGGATTTTCCATATCATCGGTCGACCAGTCCCAACTCTGTAATGGGTCAATTCCCTTCCTGTTGGTCATTTTGACGTCACATCCTGCGTCAAGAAGCTTTTTGACGAGCTCTACGTGTAGAGCCGTTATCTCTGCTCCGCGGCAGCCACGCAGAGTTAGATGTAGCAGTGAATCCCCGTCGGCATCTACAACAGACGCAACTTTGAGACGTGGATCGCAAAGCATTTTTTCGAGGACCCGAGTGTTTGCTACAGTGACTGCTCCTACTGCATGCTTCTCAAGCTCATCATTCGTTAGGGAAAGCTTGGTGTCAATGATCGTCGGGTCCTTGGTGAATTTGAGGTTGCAAGCAACTGCACACTTCCGTAGAACAGCGCTCATTCGATGATGTGCGGTCGATTGATCAGAGCAACTGCCAAGGAATTTAAGAAATGCCCGAATTTCGTCCTCATTTTCCTGAAGATCGAGGTCTTCTATGTGTTGTTGCACGATGAGGCTGTCAGTCTCTTCAAGCCGTGCTCCCTCTCTAATGAGTGCCATCGTGACCCGAAAAGTATTCGATCTTCCAAATGCGTCGAGAGATAGCTGCACCAGGCTCATGCCAGAAAATTGATTGCAGCACTGAAGATTGAGGGGTGCACCTTCTCGGCATAGGCACCTGATGGTGTCTACAGTGGCGATATGATCTTGTTGGCTATCTTGTACGACGAAAGCCCCAGTGGGTTTCAGGGAGCCTGTTGCCCATGGGGAGTATCCAACTGGCAGGGTTTGGACCGCACATTGCAACGGTCGACCCATAGGACTCTCAAGATTCACCCTCACCCCGTGTTTCATCAAGAAGCAGCAGATCCGGGGTGGGGAAAGAGCCGCTGCCATATGCAGAGGTGTAAAGTCGGGGTGGATAAAAAGCGAAACGGTTTCCTCGACAATTCCTTTGGGACCGGGTCCGGTTCCTCTGGCGAGATGATTTGCCCACGAAGTGAAGTAACAGGTTTTGGAGGGGTGGAAGAGGGAGACCGCCAGGTCGAAGACCGTCTCGTTTTCCTACTCTCCCCGCGCATATTCGAGCCAACGTGTAGAGGCATGCGAATACAACGGATGATGTTGGTTTCTGGAATCTATTTCGTCTACTTCCGTGTGTAACTCGATTTTCGGTCGGTAGAAATTCTGGAGCTGGATTAATTTGAGGCACTGGACTGCCAACAAAGCATACGCCCGAGATTTTGAGACACGCATCCACTCGAATCCCAGGTGTTGTGAGGGGGCCTTCTCAAGAAACTCCATCACTGAAAAATGAGAAAACTCCAGAGAGAGACCATCCGTGGACTTTCGAATGAGGCTACTACAATATCGGGGTAATAGACTCTTCTCGAATAACGCTCCCGGCGTCAAGCGATGCTCTAGGCTCTGGAACTGACAGTATCTCCTGTAGTTAGTGGAGATTAAGCTTTGGTGAGGCGTGAGCAATGCAATTGAGAGCTAGTTCCATTAGGTTTTACTTGCTCTTAGGCACTCGTCTGAGGATCCGCTCATAGGTCTCGTCAAGGGTTGGGGGCAGCGACTTGAGGGAGTCTCGGCATTATTGATCTGAATCGCACTCTCCAAGATGACCCAGCTGACAGGCTACCCATCGGAACCTTCATTATGTCGTTAATCCTGAATAATAGAAGATGAAAGCTAAAGGTCAACAAACTTGAACTTACATGCCCTTAGTGCCGTCAATCAGCCCCTGGAGGATCTCTCCCTTGAGATATAGGTTGCTTATGCGCAACCTTCTAGACCGAATTCTCTCCTGAATTTCAGCCGTGACATACTCAGTAATATCTTCCTTGTGCGCTGCAATCTCAATAGGGGTAAAGCTGCCCTCTAGTCGGCTTCGAATTTCATCCTCATCTCTACTGAGAAGGGCAATTGAAACATTATCAGCGTCCTCCGAGATGTCAAACAGACACTCTACTACTTCGTCAGTTAATTAGCCACATTCGCCGAGGCCATCAACTACGAGATAAGTGCGATCAAACAACTCTAGTATCCTCCTCAACAGCTTTTGCAGGGCCTTTCTAGTAGGTTGTTTTAGAAGGCCGTTAATGGGATATAACTCGTTGTAGTATCGTTCAAGCATTATATAGGCGTTTTCTTTCTGAATAGAAAGTTGATAAACTAAGGCGCCCAAGATGTTCTCAATCGTGTGAGTGTCTGCTTCCTTATAATCGCAAAAGAAGAAAGCAGACGGAATAGCTTCAGTGCTCCTTTTCAGAGCTGACTTGATGATTGAGCCCGCAAGTACAGTCTTGCCCGCTCCGGGGATGCCCTTGAGCCACAACTTAGAGCCGGGCTCAGATAATCAATGCTAGAAGTCTTGGAGCTTTTGAAGCCAGGTTCCGCTTCCCGACTATCGCAGGCGTATGCTCATGTCGTAGTTCTTCTGTGGTTTGTACTTCAAGAAGAAATTCAAGACCTTGGTCGTTCGAAGTCTTAGGGGATTCGACTAGTGATCTTCCGCGTTTCCTTGATCTCGGCCAGAATCTCTGTAGCGTGATAGCCTTCCTGGGACAAAACTCGTAGCATGGCATGCAGGGAATTAGCGGACAGCGCTAGATTGATGTTTTCTTTGTGTTTGGACAGATCGTCGAGCCATTCCTTCACACGGTCTTTGGTAAATGGCCACATGAGCTTCTGCTTCATCAAACTAGAAGTGGCCTCCAGCTTTTCCAGCTTCTTATTTATCTCTTTCAAAGTCTCCCTGCAGTCGTCCATGTTGTGCATTCGTAGGTTTGTGTCGAAAGCATCGTCTTTCAGGACCTGGGCTAGTCGTTCGAGGCTGTTCAGGGCTCCTCCAAGGAGATTGATCTCCTGAGCAAGGTGTCGAATCTCGTCTTCTGCATTCTTGACAGATCGCCCGAACTTCACCAAGCGGGCGAAGACAATGTCAGCAAGGCCTACAAGACCCGCGATACTCGCAGCGATCGATAGAGGATCCGCCATCGCTGTTTGTGGATGCACGCAGCCTTAGGACTGCCTAGACAGAACTTGCGAGATATGAAGAAGAGAGGGCGCACTACTCACGCACAGATTTCGGGGTAGACCTTGAACCCCCAAGCTCACCTCGAGCTCTCTTCTTCAATCAGGCTGGCGTCTACACAGCCAGTCAGGCAGGACTAAGGCGTTCTGAGGTCTTGGCTGTCAGACCTACGTATGCATAATTTCCCCGCTGAACGGTCACAACCCTTCTACCTCACTCGCCTGCCCAATTTTCCACGACATAGCTAGGGACTCCAGTCTCTTGCAGGAGAAGATATTCTGACAGCAGCTTACAGCTGCTGTCAGCAAATTCAAAGCTACGGTAACAGGTTCCAAGTAGCTTGCTAACAATCATCGACCGCAACTTAGGCGTTTTTGCCCGTTCAACGTTGAGTTGTGTTTAGTCTGGGCCAAAAACCTCATCTGCAGGCTTTCTTAAGAAACGACTCATCACGCATTCATAAATTGCTTGTGCAACACGTCATATCCGCCGGCTCGGTGAGGTTTTATCATTTGGTAGCTTGCTGATCTAGGCTGGTTATCGCACCCTTACGTGCATGTGAGCTGGCGCTTTTGTCGCGTCGTCGATTGAGGTGAACTTTTCTGCATGCGAATTGCGCCAGCCGCCACCTGGCTCCGGACCGGCAGGTACACTGCAAAAGAAATTGTTCGACTGTGTTTAAGCCATCTCGTTCCCGGGCATCCGTCGAGCTTCCCCACGATCCGTCCGGTCCAATGCAAGCCAGCTTGATGCACCGGTTCCCGTTGCTGGCCTAGGCCGATCCAATGACAAGCTTCGCGGACAATGAGCTGAACAAAAAAAAACAAGTCTTTTGGAGTATCATTACAATCACAACAAGCCTTCTCAAGTACGCCATCGGAGAAATCCATCTCAATCCCTGGTCTCATTGGATCACGGCCATCTTGAGGGTAGATGCAGATGCACGTGGCTGGTCTAGTAAGCTGCAACTCCGGCAAAAGCCAGCGCTCGGCCTCGACGCATGTCTTTAGCGGCATCTTAGTGTCTAAAGAAGCAAAACATTAGATGCACATGCAGACGTTGGAAACTTGGGATAAAGTTGAGGGGCCTTCCTCTGAGAATCAGTCTGTTCTACCCCTCTCTCTGTCACTTCAACCCCACCAACAATTGCCATTCACAACATTCGATGCTATCCTATATATAGAGATCTATATATCGGCAAACTCTTTAGACGAAACAGTACCTCCAGCCAGTTGACATGCTAGACGTGAAAATCGTCGGCGGCGGCATCGCCGGCCTGACTGCCGCAATCTCGCTCCGCCGCGCAGGGCACCACGTCACCATATACGAGAAGTCGGCGTTGAACAATGAGATTGGCGCGGCAATCAACGTTCAGACTAATGCCTCGCGCCCTCTGGTAGCGCTCGGCATGGATCCCGTACGAGCGAGGTTCGTGCCGGCAAGGGGCAGCAAGAGATTGAGAGGGGATACTCTGGACTTGATTCATTCACTCGAGCTCGGGGTCGTTGCGGATAAGTACGGATCCCCATGGTACTTTGCGCACCGTGTCGACTTGCATCAAGAGTTGGAGCGCATAGCTACAGCGGCTGATGGCGGTTCTCCGTTGACTATCAAACTGAGGAGTGAGGTTACGAGCTACGTGAGTATTGCGACACGGCCTGACGATGCACCTTCCATGCTTACTATCTAGGATCCCGAGAACGCTTCAATTACTCTCAGCGACGGCTCGACCATCACTTCAGACCTCGTCGTGGTGGCAGACGGCATTCACAGCGCCGGCGTCGAGGCTGTTCTAGGTTCCCCAAATCCGGCATACCCAGCTGGGCAAGACAATTTCTGTTACCGTTTTCTGCTTCCCATGGAGGAAGTTCTCGGCGATCAAGAGACGGCCCGGCTATTCGATGACGCAAGTGGGAGCGTCAGGATGTTCCTAGGAGATGGGAAGCGGATAGTTACATATCCTTGTCGAGAGTTTGTGCACTCACGAGTTCGGTCGGGTTCATTGCTAACCATTTTATAGCGGCCATGTGCTCAATTGTATTGGTATCTTCCACAACGAAGTTGGGGCCTCGACCAAAGAAGGTGCATTTTGCTGGGACCAAAGTAATGATTACCTCACTGACGTTTAGTAGACTGGCACAGCCCTGTTGACAAGTCGCATCTGCTTGAGACGTTTTCCAACTTTCACCCGAGTGTGATTGCTCTCCTGAAGTTCGTTGATGTTATACTAGTTCTGGAGACTTGTGTACCTGACTTGTAACAGCAAGGCAACCGAGGTCAAGCAATGGCCGTTGCTCTACAGAGCTCCCATCCCAACGTGGCGAAAGGGGAGAATGATTCTCATCGGAGACGCTGCTCACCCGATGCTCCCACGTAAGACTTGATCTCGCTGAACAAAGGATTACCGCTTCATCACTGACCATGCAAAGACCAAGGACAGGGAGGCGCACAAGCGATAGAAGACGGTGTAGCTCTCGGCATCTGTCTGTCCAATATGTCTTCGTCAATAGATGTCCCAGAAAGGTTGGAGATGTTTGAAAGTATCAGGAGGAACAGGGCTAGTGCTGTCACTATCTTCAGCAATGCAGCGCAGGATGAGGCCGAGAAGATCAGAGAGGCTGCTTCGGAATTTGTTCAGCCGGTTGAGAGAATCCCGAGTGAGTAGACCCGTGTATCAGCCTTCGAAGTTAAGTTCTAACACATTAGCTTAGCAAAACCCGAGGAATTCTATGACTTCCACTTTGATTACGACATCATTGAGGATTCCTGTCAGCACATGAGAAGGACTTATCCTGGCTTCAAACTCCCAGATGGATTTGGCTCCGGCGCTGTTAATAGATCTTCACTATAGCTTAGGTTAACTACCAGGTGGTTCACTTAAGTGGATAATTTCGACTAGAAGTTCTCTAATATGGAATAAAGTCATTCAAGTATTAAGCTGTAAGCTAAACCCGTCCCCAAAGATTAATATCCCTCAGTCGCTGGCCTATTGCCCCGGGCGTCTTCCTCCAGTTTCTCATGCTCAGGCGTCAATCTGTCGAATGCATTGCGGGGCGGCGTTTTCATCGTTTCCTCGATGAATTCGCATTCCTCCAGCGTGAGCTCGTAGGGTGCGTCGTGGGCTTTTTGGACGAGTTTCTGGATGCTTCGGACGAAAAGCTTGACGGACTCTTCGTTGTCTTCGTCTTTGATTGGTGCGCGGCCCATGACCTGGCGTTTCTCGTTGAAACTGAGGGCGGAAGGGTCTTCCATGGCTCGGATGTAGAGGGCATGCATGTCTGGTGAAAGCTCCATGGAGCCGACGGCAGGATAAGCTGCAGAGTTGGGCAACATCATTGAGGCGTCTGTGGACATTCCGGAACCCATTGCACCTCTGGCCAAGGGTATAGACAATCCAATACTGAGTGTTCTGAGGGGGGTGCGGAACAGATTTGAGATGCGATACATTGCAGAGGATAATGCAAAGAGTCTGCTGGATGTTGGCGGACAGGTAGTGTTGATGCTTTTAACTTAGAGGCACGATGTCTTAACCGAGGTGGACCTCGTGTTGGTTAGGCAGCCGTGGCCTTGGCTGTTGGTTCTGTTGGTGATTCTGAACCGGCAACCCTGCAAGTCAAAAACCTCTAGCACGAATGCAGTGAAGCAATCTCGCTTGGGCTTTATTCATTGGGGCGTTTTCCGTTCCCAACGTTGTTCCAACCTGAGTGTAGATTCGGTACCGTAGGCGCCAGCATCTATTGCAGAAGTCAAGGGTGCGGGCATCCAACGGGACGATGGCGGTGTGTCGATTTCAGGCACCTATGGGCACCATCAACGCTTGTGAGTCATAGATCAACTTTTGCCAACGGGCGGTTGGAAGGTTGTGCCGTATTGTATAATCCCGGAGTGCACCTCGTCATCTTCGGCCTCATCGCCCGGTCCGGCCCCACTCGCTTGCCGGCGATCGCCGGAGTCATTCCCGAGGACGCGGTCCCCGTTTCGGCACTTCTGTCCCCTCTCGAACGGCCGTCTCATTACATCAGCTTTTTCGTGGACTCAGTAATGTCTTTGATGTCGACTGCACCTTCCATGAGGTAGAGATTGCGGCAGCTGCCGTGGAGGCAACGCGCCTGCACATCGAATGTTCCCTCGGACGTTCTTGTATGACGATGTGACGAGCGGAAGTACCTACCTACCTTACCCCACGGCAGGTTCCTTCTTCCTGAAACTGACCTAAAGAAAAAGCGCGTCCTTGCCATGATGTAGAAGGTGTTTCCTTGGCAGACCTTCCGACTCCGAGTCTCCGACGCTCCAACGTCCAGCCTTTCGATTGTACACCGTCCACTTCTCTTGAACGATTGCTTCAATATCGGCCCAACCACAACCGCATATCACATATTGTCTATCAAATCATTCTCTATCATCTCGGACCGTTTGCCGTATCGTGCAGCCGTAATCGCTTCTCCACACGCCATCGCACCTTGGCCGGAGCACTCGATCACGCATCGTCGACCATTCCCCAACATGGCGAGCCCAGACAACTACCACCAGTCTCCATGGGGTGCTAACGGGACGGCATTCGGAACGCATCCCCTAATTGTCGGCGACACCGCCCTCGAGTTCTGGCTGTCGTTCCTGGGATTCTCCGTCATCTTCTTCATCATTCCAATCTTACTCTGGTGCGCGTACGTTCGCCTCCGAAACAACACCCGCATCAAGAATGACGAACTATGTGGCAAGCACGACTCTTGTCACAGCACCCACCTCAGAGCGATGGACCTTTGGATGCTCTTCGCCTTTATCGTTCTCGGCCCCGTGGTGGTAGCCGCTGCGATTATTTCCGTCATTGTTGTCATTCCACACCGGCTTTTCACGGGTCTCACGCGAAGAGGTAACATCAAGGCAAGATTCCACAGGTAGAGAGAGACAGGCAGTCTGCTTACTAGGCCTCAGGGTAATGCGCACAGTGTTAGTACAGCGCACGCTGCTCACGGGGTTTGTGGACATGGTTGCAACCGCGTTGGACATACCCAAGGAATCGATCTGAATGTGTTTGTGGCGCCGGGCGTTAAAAAGGTGCCAGACGACAACAAGTAAACGGGACGCAACACGGACGGGCGAGACAGGTACTGGACAGAATAGTCTTTCAAGTAGTCGTACAGCTACCCCGAGCACTACCCCTCAGGGGAATAGACTCTTTGCACAGCTCTTTCATGCGCAGCGTGTAACAGTTCCTTCTCCCGTTTATGCCGCCTCCTCATTTCCCTAGCCTCTAAAGGCAAATGTTCTTCGTAAAGTGCTTCCCTGGCCTCTTTCTGATCGATATAGAACCCGGCAAGGAGCAAGAAATAACAGCCGATAGGTATCAACATCCTCCACAGCATCCATGATGTTGTCGGTTCCGTGACGTACCATAACACCGTCGCAATAGGTATAAAACAGAGACTCAGACTTGCGACGAGCGCCATGGCCGTTCCCGGTTCTGACCCGATAATATTCCTCGACCCCATCGCAACGTGGAAGGCCTTCAGCTCGGCATGCCATTTGAAATCCCGGTCATGCGCCGCCTCCATCTCGGACAGTTTCGCCAGGTATGCTTCCACGGCGTACACCACCCTCGAATGCCTCTCCTCAAACGGTGTCTCCGCCTCTGCCGCCTCAGCAAACAGAGTCTCGAGCTCGTTCCTAGCTTGCTCAACTAGTGCAGCATGCCGTCGGTCATCCAGAGGGTCCTTCGTTGGACTTGGTGGTGGGAGTGTCATGTCACCAACAACAGTTGGCCCATCTCCAAAGAAGCTTCCGTCGATGAAATCCGGAAACCTCTCAATAAAGTCGTCTTCAGCTTCGTCGTCCGCGTAATCCTCCACGTCGCTTTCCGTGTCCTCGGTAATCTCATCCAAAATTCTGGACTCAAATCGGTACGAGCCCCCATCGGCTCCCTCACTCGCAAACATCTCACAGATCCTCACAAGCGCGCCAACACACTTTGCGCCTAATTTCCTCCTCCTCCTCCCCCTCTCCTTCTTCTCATAAACCCTCCCAATGGTATCAATACACCTCTCCACAACCCTAAATCTCTCAGTGTTCCCCTCCCCGCCAACAATCGCCTTCTCAGCGCTCTCCTTCGCCATCACCCTCAACTCGTCAATCGCCCCCTCCACCCTCTCCATCCTCTCCTCCAACCCGCCCTCCGTCTCGCTCTCCGTCGCGCTCCCAGGCTCCTCCTCCAACCTCCCCAGCTCCTCCTCCAACCGCTCCGGCACCCTCGGAAACGACGACGAAAAGTTCATCTGCGGCGGCGGGTGAAACGGGCTCGGCGCCGTGTTCGGCCTCTTCATCCCCGGCGACACCACCGACAGCGGGCTCGGCGCCGCGTTCAGCACGCTCACGCTCGACCGCCGCTGGATCTCCCGCCACCCCTCCACCATCTTCTTCATAAAGTCCGCCTGCTCCGGCATCAGCTTCACCACGTCGTCCGCCGCGCCCTGCAGGAAGTCGGGCGTCAGCACCGGACACGTCGAGCTGCGCCGGAACGGCGGCGGCACCACCACCGACCGCGCCGTCCCGGGCCGGCTGCTGCTGGTGGCGCACTCCGCCTCGTCGTCGCTGGCGTACGCGTGATGCCCCGCCCCGCGCGCGTAGTCAATCCTGGCAAACTTGCGCGTGCTCGTGCTAGCGGGAAAGGGCTTCAGCAGCGGCGGGAATTCCTCGGGCACCTCGTCGTCTTCGTCGAAGAAGCTGTCCTGCGACGACTTGCGCGACGACATGGGTGTCGCCAGGGTCCTCTGGTCGTCATCCTCCTCTTCCTCCTCACTATCGTCGTAGTCCCTCTCCTCATCGTCGTCCGTCGAGGACATGAAGTCGCCCAGCTCGTCGGAGAGGCTGCGCGGGGGGAACTGAGGAGCGGGGGATCCCTGGCGGGGGCTGCGTGGGTGATCCCTCATGATGATGTGCGTTGGCTGCTGTGTTGTGTTGGTCGCACTGCGTTATGTCGTGTAATCGTTAAAAGTCGTCGTGGAAGTAATTGGTTCGTTAAGAAGAGACAAAAGAAAAGATGCAAAAAAGTCCCGCTAAGTGTGAAAAGTAAGGATGCAGGTTGGGATGAGGGATGGAGAATGGGTTTAAAGTCGTCGTCCTTTCGTCGCTACACCTCCTGAATCTCTGGGCCGGGACGGGATGAGGAGAGCAGGCGCAAGAGCAGCGCGGGGTGAGTGGTGAGGTTGTGCAAGGGTCCTGGGACTCCTCTTCGCGAAGCGGTGAGAGAGGGTCAAGGGGGCGGCGGATTAAGGTGAAAAGGCCGCAAACTCGGCTTTGCGTGCACACACCCCTTGCTGCTTCGCACTGACTTGACAGATAAATCCGAATGATGGAGAGAGACTGGAAGGCAAAGATCTGCGCTTCAAGCCGAAGGAGAGATCTTTGGCCAAAACCTCCCTCCAAAAAGACGGAACGAAGGAAATTCCAAAATAATTGGGACGAAACTGCGACCTTTGTGCGCGCAGCGTTGCGAAGTATATCGTAGTAGTCCGTCGCGGGACCTGCAGGAAGGAAGCGCGTGTTTCCGATCGGCGGTCAAGTTAAACTTCGGTGAAGGGCACTTTGCAACCACACAATAGCAGCAGCGGCATCAGCAGCAGCAGCAGTCACGAGCAGCAGTACGAATAAGCAGACTGTAGCAGCGACAAGAGGCGAAGAAAAAGGCACGGACGGGGCGCTCGCTGGATACATACAG